TCCTTCTTTTTTGAGTAAAAAAAAACCAAATTTATTTTCAACTAATCAACAAATTGTTAAGTAAACGAATATTTGAGTTTTCATCATTTCACTTATTTTCTTTTATAACTGACGGTTTTTCACTGCATGGCTACATCAGAGAGCTAACATTTAAGACTTAGAGCAAATTTTACAAAATAGAATTCATAAATGATGCTTTTTCTACAGTGTTGGAAATTTCTTCGCTTTTTCACGCCGAACTACGCTCAAACGTTTCTTTCCCCCTTTTCCCGTTTCTCTTCGTTGTCGTTCAATTTTTTCTTCAGAAAACGGCAAATCCAATCAATTTTCCTAACCGAACGACTTTTAGGTGACTTAGCTTGCCATATTCTTATCTCACAGGGGAAAAATACTTAGTCGAATTGTCGAGTCAAAAAGCGATGTATATTCATAGATGCAGTTTCAGACCTGATTCCAAATCTGCCTTCCACATCTGCGAAGCGTTTTTCTGTATGAAGTTATGAGTGTTTGAAAATTCCAAGGTTAGCACCACTTCTATCAAAGTGAACCAATGAATAGTGATCAAAGCGGCAGATAGTGTAGTGGTAAATGTGCGGTTTGTCAAGCTGACTGGTGCAGGTCCGATTTCTCTTACCTTCCAAGATTTCTGCATTTTCATTAAAATTGTTTTCATGAGTCAGTGAATGTTATTCGTGAATGAATGACTTATTTTCAGTTAAGTGATGGTTTTAAACAAAAGTTCAAAATGTGAAGAATGTCACTTCCTATAGAATTTATTTTCCTCAAGCATTGTTTGAGCATAACTTATTACCAAGCAAAGGATACACCAATAAACATAGATGATATGCTATTGTGTGTGAAGCATAGATGCTTCTCGCAATAAGCAAATGAAAGATACTTCATTGCAGCCATTACTTTCGAGTCTACCATCAGACTGGGAGGAAAACTAAATTGACTAAGGGCTTCAAACGAGCCAGGATGTTCTTCTACATAGCCAGAGGCATACAACGTATAAGAGAGGAAATTTCTGAAACGGAGAGATCAAGACTAAGAATAGATGAAAAAGGAACGTGAATATGGAATCTATGTAGTGTGATGGAATCAATTTCGTGGGCATGTACATATGAGATGCTATACAAAGTAAATCAATTTTAAATGTTCAGAACCATCAGCTAAGCGAAAATGCATCATTGATTCATCAATAACATTCATTGACGTATGAAAACATTCTTAAAAAGAATGCAGAAGTGCTGGAAGTTAAGGGGAATTAAGCTGGACCAATCAGCCCAACAAACCGCATGTCGCTAAATTGCGACTCAATCAACATACAAGTTCGCTTATTGCTGTATGTATATTATTGTCGTTATT